TTCTTTATCAGGAGCCTTGATAATTAGAATAGGGTTTTGGGGGCCCATTATACTATAATTATAATAAGGACCCCCCCCCCAAAAAAAAAAAATATATATATATATAAACAAAAAGCAACAGACTTCACAATAGACCCCCGAACTCTGTGTTCTTCACCCCTAAACCAAAAAGCCGCCTCATGTTACGATCCTTTTATTGCCCAAGAGCTTCGCATGCTGCTTCCTTTCGAGAACCGTTGGGTTGGGGGTCTGCCCAAAGGAGGCTTTTTGGAATTAATACAGGGGCCTTGATGATAACCAATACTATCTTGGGGGCTCCTTATTATAATCATCGTATAACATACCCCAAAACCTTATTCCAATTATTAAGGCTCCTACATGAGACATGTTCACCTCAAATCCGAAAGCCTATTATAAGCCCTGACCCCCAAACCCCCAACGCTATTCCCTAAACCCTTATGTAAAACCCTCTTCCCTAAACTCCCCTCCCCCCGACATCCAGCGCCCTGACCCACTCCACAATCAATGAACCGTTTGAATTGGGAACCCTAAACCTTAAACCCTAAACCGGACCTTTTCAAGGGTTTTTGCCCTGGCCTGCCACCGTTTAATTGGGAACCCTAAACCCTAAACCGGACCTTTTCAGGCTTGTTGCCTTGGCCTGCAATTCCGCAGCCTCTGTTCTCCGACTTTACTGCTAGCGTTTCGAGCTTCGGGTCGGCTTTATAGGGTTTAGAGTCTTTACGTTTTGAATTTAAGTTTAGGGTTTAGGGTTTTAGGGTTTTAGGGTTTTACGGTTTAGGGTTTTGGGTTTAGGGTTTTGGGTTTGGGGTGTTCGGAGACTGGAATCTGAGCAACAAGCGGCTGAACCAGTAGTAGAACCCTTATGCAACCTTACCTCAAACCCCAAACCTCAACCTTAAGCCCCCCTCAACCGCAAAGCCATAAACCCTAAAGCCCTACCTAAGCCCCAAGACCTAAACCCCAAAAGCCCCTAAAAACTTTTCGAACACTCTGAACCCAGAATCTAAATCCTAAAATCCTATTCTTCTGCGGCCAAGGTCCCCCAAAAGACGATGCCGGCTCGCTGCAGGCGATCTTCGAGGCGACCGTGGACGAGCCAGAAGGCTCCTCACATGAAAGTTCGAGGGCTTTGGGCCTTACTTCTGTTGATTATTACTATTGTTATCATTATTGCTACCGGTATTTATTACTGTATATATATACATATATGTATACATGCACATACATGTGTAGGTTATCAATTATATGTGTACTTGTCTACCTACCTATCTGCCTATCATATATGTATATACATATATATATATATACATATATATATATATGCATTAAATTATATGCAGGCATGACAGAGGGGTTTTGGGTTTAGGATTTCGGGATGAGGGTTCATAGGAGTTAGGGATGTTTCGGGCTTCAGGGGGCTTCAGGGTCTAATGAAACTCAAAACCCCAAACCCTAAACTCGCAACCATAAACCCTAAACCATAGTCTAAGGTTCTATGTTTTGACTCTGGGGTTTTTCGGGTTTGGGCAGGTTTAGGAGTTTGGCTTACCCGAACCCCACTTTCTTCTAGGGCAATTCTGCAGGCTCTCTTAGATACATGTGTGTTACGTGTATATATATATACACACACATCAACGAAAGGTCTTTTTTGAAGAGGGTTAAGGTAAGGTCTAGGATTTAAGTTTGCAGGTTCAGGGTCATGTCGGGCATCTTCAAGTAGCATGTTCATTCATTAAAGCTCATTGTCGGTGTATTGTGTGTTGTGACCACTGATGCAGGTGCTTATGATATATAGTATCTACAGCCTTACCGCACTTGTCTATGGCGATTTCTGTCAGAACTATCAGGTCGGGCCGTTTGGCTTGTGTGTGTAGGCCTCGGTTTGAAGAGGCAGCACCAGGCGAGCCACACCGAATGACAAACTGCTTGTGGGAACTTTGCACGCAAGCTCAAGGCAGCAACAGCCTTAGCATTGCACCTCCGAGTCCGCTTCATAACCTTCATCCCATCCCCATCCTTCACTGGTGGTGGTGGTGGTGGTGGTGCTGCTGCTGCTTCTGGTCCTACTCTGCCTCCATGCCGTGAGCCGTAGTGCTACTACTACCATTCCTCCGGCGGTTACCACGACGACAACAACGACAGCCAGGACAACGACCGCAGCCGCCACCGCCACTGCCACCCCCCAAGCGCACCACCACCACCACCACCACCACCAACACCACCAAAACAGCAGCAGCAGCAGCAGCAGCAACAGCAGCAACAACAGCATCAGCACCACAGCCACAGCCAGAGCAACAGCAACAGCAACAGCTCCAGCACCAGCCCCAGCTCCACCACCACCCCTTCTACCACTACCACCGCCAGCTTCTGCCCCTTTCTCCCATAATCTCGTTATCAACAGTCAGCGTGGTGGACCTGCGGACCGACGACCTTGTATCCGAAACAGTCTTGAACTCTAAAACCTACCCAAGACGTACAAACCTAATCCATCTCATGAAAGGAACGTGGAAAATCTCGTAATCATCGCTCTTATCAGCATCAAAAACCCACCCAAACACAAAAAAAAGGCCTCCACTACGAGCTCGTGGGCCTCCGCGACTCTGAGCGCATCGTCGACTCAGAGTCAGAGGATTGAGGACCAAAATCGAGCGAAGCTTGGTTCAGGGTTTAGGGTTGGAGGCTTCAGGGTTTAGGGTTGGAGGGTTTAGTGTTTATGGTTGGAGGGTTCGTTTAGGGTTGGAGGGTTTAGGGTTCAGAGTTTAGGGTTGGAGGGTTGGGCGTGCACAATTAGGGGTTTAAGTCTTAAGTTAGGGAGCTTAGGGCTCTTATCTTTAGGGATGTCTTGGCAGTCGCCGATGCCCCAAACCCAAACCCAAACCCCATTGGACCCTAAACCCTTGTATATGCCGAAGACACCACGTGCTCCCTGCCTGCACGTCTTAAAGAAGCGCTCTTCCTCTCCCGGGTAATTAGTTTAAGGGTTTAGGGTTTAGGGGCCCGTTCATAATTCGAACATGGTTTTGGTGGTTAAATGTTGGCAGGTATTCAGACCCCAATATTACCCACGCTCCTAACCAGCCTGCCGGAACACGGGACCTGCCGGGAAAACACACACTGCTGCAAGCTGTCGTGGTTTTAGAGTTTAGGGTCCCCATCCCGGGTCTTCTGGCAAAAATCCTAAGCACCTATGCGAACAGATACCTGACCGGCCTGGATCAGATAGTGCGCCGATAGAATCTCTAATGCTTACAGGAAGTTGGTATGGAAGTCGACAGCACCGGTAATGATCTGCGACCGCAGAAGATGGGCAATACCCTAATTAGAGATTTGCTGCTGAGGGCTTGAGTTTAGGCTTCCCCAAAGCTCAAACCCGAAACCTGTATTGGGTTGGGGTTTTTGGATCCCTCAACCATCTGCCAACCGACTTGTCTTGCCCGTTTGCTTAGGTCTCGTTCTGTTGGACGGAAGGCCCGACATCACCTGACTTTGGGTTTCGTATTTGGAGTTTAGGGCGACGAGTGTTCCTTTTCTTTCCGTTTGCTGTTTTTCTTTTCCAGCTTGCAACCGATCCGATAGTTGCTGTGAGTCGTGCTCTTGCCGCGTTTATGCTTCTCGGCTCTTGCATCGCAGACAGATAGATAGATCAATCGATAGATAGAAAGATAGATAGACAGGTAGATAGATAGATAGATAGATAGATCCATTATTTTATTGTAGTTCGTTGTGTACTGACCCCAACACTGCACACCCTCTACCCCAAAAGGATGCACACAAGAAGTTATGAAAGCCCAACCCTACACCGACACCCTGACCCCGAACCCTCAATCCCAGGCCCCCAACCGTGTCATGTCAGCTGTTAGGGGTTCGGGGTTCAGAGTGCTGGGTCTTACACATCCCTTCGCACAGTGCTTCGCACAGTGCTTCCGAGCCAGTTCGTCGAATACTATAGGAGCCTAAATGATTACCAATACTTTTTTTTTTTGGGGGGGAGGGGGGGGGGTCCTTATAAAAATCCGTATGATAGTATCATATACCCCAAAACCCCATTCTAGTTACTAAGGCCCCTACAGTACAGTCGTTGGAGCCAAGAAGCTCAAGGCTCAAACCATAAGCTTGCGAAGCCGACATCGACCTTCGTGCATGGAAGAAGCTGGGCTCGAATTCGTAGACAAGTATGGTGCCGACCCATGTGCTAGGTTCCAGGACTTAAAGATTGTACGATCCGGTTGTTCATGACACTGCTATGTGGGAATCCTTTTCACTACCTTGAGGTACTGTGCAGGTACCTATTCATAAACCGTGTTGAGTGGCTCTGTCATTCCACATATCCTTCTATATCGCACGATAAAGACGCTTGTCGAGCGTAGATCCAAAATGTTTTTGAGACCCTAGAGCGGTACATGTACTCTACTTACGCGGCAGATCATAGCCAAGAGAGTGCGAATCCGCTGTGCCTTTGCTGCGCTCCTTCCGAAAGCAGGCACGGGATGAAGTGCCAAGGGAAGTGCAAAGGTTCGTTTTTTAGGGTTTAGGGTTTAGGTTTAGGGGGTCTGTCGTTGTGAGGTTAATTACAGTCTATGCTCAGCGGTGCGCTCGGGTACACCTGCCCAGGAATATGTCGAAGGGACAGCTTAACCTCCCTATGAACTTCTTAAGTCTTAGTGCAATTCTTCTGTAAATTCTCAGCCATGGAAACTCCTTTTAGGAGTCGGTCCTGAAAGTGCTGCCTTGTGTTTTTGTGATCCAACTACTTGGAGCCCCGCTTTCCTGAGTCCCCATGTCCTTCTGTGCAGTGTTGGGGCTTTAGTAAGGCTTTCCGGATCCGGGGGCTTAGGATGGTATGTGTGTGTTTCCAGTTCCAGCGTACTCAGGTTTAGGGTTTAGGGTTTAGGGGTCTGAGGGAGCTTTGAGAATTGGGGGTTTCTGATGTGGGAATTCCGGCTGTCACGATCTCCTCTTAGCTGCCAGGCAAAGATGGCTGCCGTGCCTTGGCAGCAGATCCATGCCTTAAGGCTAAACCCAGAGCCCTAACACTATAATAACCCTGAGCCCTAAACCCAAAGCCTTAAATCCTAAACCCTAAGCCCCAAACTCTAAAACCCTAAACCCTAAACCCTAAACCCTTAACCCTAAACCCTAGAACCGTGAACCCTAAACCTTGGCGTTGAGCGGAGGGCTCAGGGCTCGGGGTTTCAGGTTTAAGGTTTAGGGTTTAGGGTTCAGGGTTTAGGGTTCTTGGGTTTAGGGTTCAGGGTTAGGGTTCAGGGTTTAGGGTTCAGTTCAGGGTTCAGGGTTTATGGTTCAGGGTTTTGGTTTTAGGGTTCAAGGGTTACCGAAAGGTGTTGGGACGGCATCATTTCCCTGCGTCGACTGCATGCTTTGGCCTTACCGTGACCTTTACCAACCCAAGAAGCCACAATCCAAATGTTCATCCGAAACCCCTTTAAGTAATATAGGGGCCTAAATAATTACCCATACTATTTTGGGCATCCCTGATTATAACTATAGAAAAACGTACCCCAACACCCTATTCTAATTGTGAAACTAAGAAGGGCATCGGCACCTTTTCACTCCACAGAACATAGCGAACTCGTGTGCCTTGAGCCAAAACCCAACCAAACGTCGTAGCAGCTGTACACTTCTCGATTTGTGCCTGGTGGCACAGCTACGCGGCGGCTCTGGCAAAGAAGACATATCTTTGGGTTTCACACTGGTTCAAAAATATCTTCCCATTTTTCAACGGTCTGAGCCTGATTTTCAAGCTTTTCAGAGATGGACAACCAGAGATTGGTAAAGGCATACATGTAGAGGCCGACGCACTTCGGACGGCCCCTAAGGACTGGTTTCAGTCAGTCATCGCCAGTGACGGCGTTGATGCCGCTGTGGTACTAAGAAGCATCCACTAACTTGGCCAGACCGTTGACGCTGATCACAAAGCCAATGTAGTACGGCAAGACTGCCATGGCGATGCCACCCACGTAGAAGATACGAAGTTGTGGTCGCAGAACGTAACACGCTGCATGCTGTGGTAGTAGACAATGGGCCCCGAAGGATTTGTAGCAGAAGATGCGATCGTAAAGGGCACTGGTGAAGAAGTCGTGGTCGTAGAAGATGAGAGCCAACAACTGCGGTCTTAGCTGCGGACCGCGTGGTCGTGCAGCATGTGGTGGTAGAGGATGTTGTGGCACATGGCACTCTTCCACAATAATTTGCAGCATAAGATGCGGGTGTGGTGATTTTGGCAGTATTCTGGCCACTGTGGACTTTGCTGCGGAGGACACACTTGTAAATGAGGACGTTGCTGTAGACGCCGAAGTCGTAGAGGAAGTTGTCGCATACGAAGCCGTCGTAGACAAAGTGGCTGCCAAAGATGTCATTGAACAGGGCCTCATCGTCGCGGAACCCGTCGTAGGAGATGTAGCCGGTGTTGCAGGAGCCGCAGAAGCCGTGGCCGTACAGGTAATCGGGGTGCCTGTATAGGATGAAGTCGAGGGAGGCGCCGGAGAAAAGGACGTTGTTGTAGAAGCCATCGCTGTAAACAGTGTGGTCGTACAGGATGTGGATGTCGCGAATACTCTCGTAACGATCTCAGCCGCGATGGATGAGACTGTGCGGTGCGTGGATATTGATGATGTCGTTGTCAGGGATGCAGTTGTGAAGGAGGCCACGGAGGACGTCGGCGCAATGTAGTTGGATGCTGACGATGTGATTGCGTTACGTGGTGTTGCGCAAGGAGCAGTCGTGAAGGATGAAGCTGTAGAAGCTGTAGTCGTAGATGGTGTTCTTGCGATGGCCATTGTCGTGTAAAGCATGCGATTGTAGCAAATGTGGCTGCTAGCGTAGTGGCTGTGGTCATGAGGGAAGCTTGCATACACCATGTGGCCGAAAGGGGTCTCGTCGTAGTGGTGGGTGAGGCCGGCGGAGAGGTTGATGTTGATCCTGTAGTAGTCGATGATGTTGACGTAGAAGATGTCTTCATTGAAAATGCTGATGTAGAGGGTGTGGTCATTGGTAACGTTGATGGTGAATACGTGGCCGACAAGCCTGTCGATGTACAAGATATGACCGGCACTGATGTAGAAGATGTGGCTATCAAAAGCAATGATGCATAGGATTCGGTAGTAAACATGTTGATGTACAGAGATGTCGTCGGCGAGCATGATGATGTAAAGCATGTGGTAGTCAATGGTGTGGCCATAGAAGGTGTGGTCGCCAGCATTGTTGACGTAGGGGATGTAGTAGACGACGATGTTGATGTAGAAGATGTCGTCGGCGAACAGGTTGATGCAGAGGGTGTGGTAGTCGATGATGTAAATGTACGAAGGGATACCAGCTTCAGATGCGAAGCATCCGACAAGATGTGGTAGCCGGCGGTGCATCTGTAGAGGCTGTGGTTGTCGGCGACGTTGATGTAGAGCATGTGGTAGCCGACGATGCTGCTGTAGAAGATGTGCCCATCGAAGAGAATGACGTGGAGGATGTGGTAGCCGATGGAGCTGATGTAGAAGATGTCGTCTGCGAAGACGTTGATGTAGAGGACGGGGTAGTCGATGATGTCGATGTAGAGGTGCTGGACGAACATGTTGATGCAGAGGACGCGCTGGTCGACGATGTGGATGTAGAAGGTGTGGTTGC